ATATATATATATATATATAATAAAGATAAATAAAAGGAAAATTAGAAAATATCTTGATACAAAGGAAAATGTACATATAACACAGCAGAACTCAGGAAATGCAACAAAAACAGTGTTAGAAGGGATAGAGTAATAATGTATGCATACATGAAAATAAGCAAATGCCTGGGTGTGCTTGCTCACATCTGTAATCCCAGCACTTTGGGAGGCTGAGGTGGATCTCTTGAAGCCAGGAGTTGCAGACCAGCCAAGGCAACAAAGCGAGACCCCCCCCATCTCTAAAAAAAATAAATAGGCCAGGCAAGGTGGCTCACGCCTGTAATCCTGGCACCCTGGAGGCCAAGGCGAGCAGATTACGAGGTCAGCTTGGCCAACATGGTGAAACCCCTTCTCTACTAAAATACAAAAAAATAGCCAGGCATAGTGGCATGCACCTGTAGTCCCAGCTACTTGGGAGGTCGAGACAGGGGAATCACTTGAACCTGGGAGGTAGAGGCTGCAGTGAGCCAAGATCCCGCCACTACACTCCAGCCTGGTGACAGAGCAAGACTCCGTCTCAAATAAAAATACATAAAAACAAATTAATTAATTAAATAAATTCTTGTTTCAATTAGTGAGGCACAGTGTCATGTGCCTATAGTCCTGCTACTTGGAAGGCTAAGGTGAGATTGTCACTGGATCCCAGGGATCTATGATCATGCCCCTGCACTCCAGCCTGGGTGACACAGTGAGACCCTATCTCTTAAAAAATAAACAACTATGCCAGGCATGGTGGCTCACACCTGTAATGCTGGCACTTTGGGAGGCCGAGCCGGGCGGATCAGAAGCTCAAGAGACGGGAGACCATCCTGGTCAACATGGTGAAACTCCGTCTCTACTAAAAATACAAAAATTAGCTGGACACGGTGGTGTGTACCTGTAGTCCCAGCTACTCAGGAGGCTGAGGCAAAAGAATTGCTTGAACCCAGGAGGCGGAGGTTGCAGTGAGCTAAGATGGTGCCACTGCTCTCTAGCCTGGAGACAGAGTGAGATGCTACCTCCGAAAAATAAATAAATAAATAAATATCTAGAATAAAATAGCATATAAACAACCTAACTTTCTACCTCCACAAAGGAAAAAAATAAACACAAAGATAGCAGAAGGAAAAAAAAGATTAGAAAATAAAGAACACAGCAGAAAAGCACTAGAGAAAGTCATGAAGCTAAGAGTTCACATTTTGAATAAGACTGACAAACCCTTAAAGTAGAAGAAAGAAACACGAAGTGTATGTCTAAAATAACTAAAATTAGAAATGTAAAAGAGGACATTACAAACAAGTCTATACAAATAAATTGGAAGTTAAATGACATTCAACAACTGTATAACCAAAAATATGATGACCAAGAAGAAAAGAATTGTAAGCCAGGCGTGGTGGCTCATGCCTGTGATCCCAGCACTTTGGGAGACTGAGGCAGGCAGGTCACCTGAGGTCAAGAGTTCAAGACCAGCCTGGCCAATATGGTGAAACCTCGTCTCTACTAAAAATACAAAAATCAGGCCGGGCGCGGTGGCTCAAGCCTGTAATCCCAGCACTGTGGGAGGCCGAGGCGGGGTGGATCACGAGGTCAAGAGATCGAGACCATCCTGGTCAACATGGTGAAACCCCGTCTCTACTAAAAATACAAAAAATTAGCTGGGCATGGTGGCGTGTGCCTGTAATCCCAGCGACTCAGGAGGCTGAGGCAGGAGAATTGCCTGAACCCGGGAGGCGGAGGTTGCGGTGAGCCGAGATCGCGCCATTGCACTCCAGCCTGGGTAACAAGAGCGAAACTGCACCCCCTTAACAAAAAAACAAAAAAAAACAAAAAATACAAGAATCAGCCAGGCGTGCTGGTGGGTGCCTGTAATCCCGGGTACTCGGGAGACTGAGGCAGGAGAATTGCTTGAACCTGGGAGGTGGAGGTGGTAGTGAGTCAAGATCACACCACTGCACTCCAGCCCAGGCGACAAGGCAAGACTCCATTTCCCAAAAAAAAAAAAAAAAAAAAAAAAAAAAAAGGCCAGCCGCGGTGGCTCACGCCTGTAATCCTAGCACTTTGGGAGGCCGAGGCGGGCGGATCATGAGGTCGAGAGATTGAGACCATCCTCGCCAACATAGTGAAACTCTGTCTCTACTAAAATATTTTTAAAAATTAGCTGGGCTTGGTGGCGCGCATCTGTAGTCCCAGCTACTCGGGAGACTGAAGCAGGAGAATTGCTTGATCCCGGGGGGCGGAGGTTGCAGTGAGCCGAGATCGCGCCACTGCACTCCAGTCTGGCGCCTGGTGACAAAGTAAGACTCTCTTTCAAAAAAAAAAAAAAAAAAAATCATGGCTTCCACTCTGTCCATCTGAGCTCTTACCTGTGTTGGTATCTTTGATACCTTCCCATCTACCTGGATTTTTTGCTACTTTCATTTCACTCTCCACAGTCCATGGCTCTGTCCTTTGCTTCATCATGGAGATAATACTCAGGTCAGGAAGACAGATTCCTGTTTATAAAAGAAAGAATCAAGATGTGCTGTGATGTCTCCAAAATCCAAGCCTATGTTTAGGAAGAAGAGATTATATTAAAAATTAATCCTTTTACGCCAGTTAGAATTGTGATTATTAAAAACAGGAGTACTTTTACACTGTTGGTGGGAGCGTAAATTAGTTCGACCATTGTGGAAGACAACGTGGTGATTTCTCAAGGATCTAGAACCAGAAATACCATTTGACCCAGCAATCCCATGACTGGGTATATGCCCAAGAGATTATAAATCATTCTACTATAAAGAAAAAACTGTTAATCAAGAATTCAAGAATAACATTTCACAAATCTACCCATAGACTATCTCCTTCTGAATGCTTAAGGAACACTGTAATAACTGGACATCGAACTCTCTTCCAAGAACTACAGCATCTTGGAAAGGGGTAGAAAACAGGGAACTGACTGGGTGCAGTGGCTCACGCCTATAATTCCAACACTTTGGGAGGCCAAGGCAGGTGGATCACAAGGTCAGGAGTTCAAGACCTGCCTGGCCAACATGGTGAAACCCCGATTTTACTAAAAATACAATATTTAGCCAGGTGTGGTGGCGTGCACCTGTAGTCCCACCTACTCAGGAGGCTGAGGCAGAATTGCTTCAACCTAGGGGGCAGAGGTTGCAGTGAGCAGAGATCACGCCTCTGCACTCCAGAATGGGTACGAGAGCAAGTCTCCATCTGAAAAAAACTTAAAAAAAAAAAAAAAAAAAAAAGGAACAGGGAATGGCCGGGCGCAGTGGCTCACGCCTGTAATCCTAGCACTTTGGGAGGCCAAGGCGGGTGGATCACGAGGTCAGGAGTTCAAGACCAGCCTGGCCATCATGGTGAAACCCCATCTTTTAAAAAAAAAAAAAAAAAAGTTTGTCATAACGTTTTATGGCACACTTAAGAACAGGTACCACCCAAAGATGTATCATGAAGGAGACAGAATATCTGAAGAAAGGGGGCATTTCAAATCCAGAAAGCACACTGGACCTTTTCGTTTCTGAGTCAACAACATTTCTTTTTTTTCTGAGACAGAGTCTTGCTCTGTTACCCAGGCTGGAGTGCAGTGGCACGATCTCAGCTCACTGCAGCCTCTGCCTCTGGGTTCAAGTGATTCTCTTGCCTCAGCCTCCCGAGTAGCTGAGATTACAGGCATGCATCACCATGCCTGGCTGATTTTTGTATTTTTAGTAGAGATGGGGTTTTACCATGTTAGTCAGGCTGGTCTTGAACTTCTGACCTCAAGCAATCCACCCACTTCAGCCTCCTAGACTGTTGGGATTACAGGCGTGAGCCACCATGCCTGGCCAAGTCAACAGGGTTTCAATTTTAGTCATGCAATGTAGGGGCTCCCAAGAGGGACACAAGGGAAAATGCAGAGATACCAAGGGCAGATCCCAACTTCTGGAGGGACATTATCCTTACCCAGGGAGACCAGGTTCCTGTAGTTCTCCAGCATCACATCCCTGTATAAAGTCCTCTGAGCAGGGTCCAGGCATCTCCACTCCTCCTGAGAGAATTCTATTGCCACATCCCTGAATGTCAAGGGTCCCTAAAATAAAAGATGCATTTGACCAACAGGGTATACAGAGAGTACTTATGTTCACATAAAATGAGAAGAGAATTGGCCGGGCGCGGTGGCTCACGCCTGTAATCCCAGCACTTTGGGAGGCCAAGGCGGGTGGATCACAAGGTCAGGAGTTCGAGACCAGCCTGGCCAAGATGCTGAAACCCCGCCTCTACTAAAAATACAAAAATTAGCTGGGCGCGGTGGCACGCGCCTGTAATCCCAGCTATTCAGGAGGCTGAGGCAAGAGAATCGCTTGAACCTGGGACGCGGAGGTCGCAGTGAGCTAAGATCGTGCCATTGCACTCCAGCCTGGATGACAGAGTGAGACTCTGTCCTGGGGGGGAAAAAAAAAAAAAAGGAGAGAATTGTAAAGATTGACTCAACTGACAGGCTGAAGTGAACATTCTCATAAATTCACATTAAGGTATTTTTGAGCTAGTTATGTGTCTGTAATTGCGTTTTTTTATACTTTTCTATAAAAAGTTATGATATTCTCTAAACCAGTGTACATTTTTCATTCAATATCTACCTGAGCTAGAATACAAGTCTCTCTGAAGACACCAACTACTTGAATTGTAGCTCAGGTAGATACTGGGTATCACTTGGTGTGGCAAACATTGATACCTAACACTTCTATAGAGATAACTGTGGGTTAATTTTGTGTCTGGGCATTAGAATCAAACCTAAAGAATCAAACAGTTAAGTAACACATCAGCATCAAAAGTAAACTGACAAATTACCTAACAAGTTCAAGGACAAAAACCTGAATCTGCATCAACAGTCATTATATATGCATACACACATATCCTAATGCATTACTATTCTTTTTTTTTTTTCTCAACATCTCTTTGAAATTGTTTTAATACTATTCTTTTTTTTTTATTTTGAGACAAAGTCTCACTCTGTTGCCAAGGCTGGAATGCAGTGGTGCGATCTCGGGACACTGCAACCTCCACCTCCCGGGTTCAAGCAGTTATCCTGCCTCAGCCACCTGAGTTGCTGGGATTACAGGCGCACACCACCACAGCCAGCTAATTTTTATATTTTTGGTAGAGACGAGGTTTCACCACATTGGTCAGGTTGGTCTTGAACTCCTGACCTCGTGATCCGCCCACCTCAGCCTTCCAAAGTGCTGGATTTACAGATGTGAGCCACTGTGCCCAGCCAATACATTACTGTTCTTACTGCCACCGACTCATTAACATGTACAACACTTTTAAGGTCATGGAAAATATTTCAGATGTAATTTCAGCTGTTCAAAAACGTAAAATTCTTAATGCCTTAGATAAAACTATAGGCTTGCTCATCCATGTACTCATACAAACACATCACACATACACACTTATATATACTTAGAAGCTTATAAAGTAATACACATATACGCTTCTACACATCTACTGAATAAGGAGCTGTCTCTCAATGACCTATGTTTTAGATGATATCTGTCATCCTTTTTAAAAACGATTCTTAGAGACTGAGTCTTGCTATGTTGTCCAGTTTGGAGTGCAGTGGGTAATCATAGCCACCACGCCCAGCCAGTTTCCTGTTCTCTTGCTTCTTTTTCAGCTACGCATTCCCATATCTGTTCCAATGACTCCTTATTAACCCATTCATTCCTCAAGAACCACCTCTAAGAGATTCTCAGTGTCATCCTCCTCCACATCCAGATTAAACCTGTGGTAATGCACTATGTTTGTTTCTGCCAGCATCACCGTAAACACAAGGCATGCACTGGACTATGACGTCATGACTGCTCTGAGGTAGCTGGGCAACCAGAATTTTTCAGCTCCAGTGTAATTTTATGGAACCACCATCATAGGCATGGTCTGTTGCTGACTGAAATGTCCTTAAGTGGTGCATGACTGTATTATGCCTTTTTTTTTTGAGACGGAGTCTTGCCCTGTTGCCCAGGCTGGAGTGCAATGGTGTGATCTCGGCTCACTGCAACCTCTGCCTCCCGGGTTCAAATGATTCTCCTGCCTCAGCCTCCTGAGTAGCTGGGGTTACAGGTGCCCACCACCACGCTCAACTAATTTTTGTATTTTTAGTATCGATTGTGTTTCACCATGTTGGCTAGGCTGGTCTTGAACTCCTGACCTCGTGATCCACCCACCTCAGCCTCCCAAAGTGCTGGGATTACAGGCATGAGCCACCTAGCCCTGCCTATATTATGCAAAAAAAAAAAAAAAAAAAAAAAAAAAAAGGGATTTGAAGACCATCTGATTTGGGTAGCCTCGGGGGTTTCTTGGAAGCAAATCCTATGTGATATGGAGGGATGGCTGTAGAGGGTGACACACTGGACAAAGAGATTATTCAAGTCCTGTGCAAAACAATGGGACAGTGAGAGATTGTATCATCCTACTCAGAAGGGTAAGAAATTTGAAACTTGTGAATTCTTCATTTCTGGAACTTTCCTTGTAATATTCTTGGACTGTGGTTAACCAAGAGTAACTGGAACCTAAAAAGTACACTGGCAGACAAGGAGTAATTACCCTAGAATCAACTTCAAATATTAAGGCTGGGCCCAACCTGAGTATGTGAATGGGAATCTCAGGTAAGAGGATGGGGGCACCAGACACGTATCTGCATTCCAATGTGAAGCCAGGGGTGAGCTCCACTCAGGACAAGCCCAGCACACCCCCACCTCTGGCTCTGTTCTCCCCTTGGGGCCTTGTCACCAGGATCTAGGCCGTGGACAGCAAAAGAGCAGAAAGAATCATCTAGAGCAGCCAACATGGACTACAGTGGGAGTGAGGGTGTAGTGGAGTGTTAAATGTGGGTTGGAGAGGAACACAGAATCCTCCATGAAGCAGGTGACATCAGAACAAAGACCTGAGGAAGAAAAGGTATTTGCGCCTGCAGCTGATGGGCCAGAGAGGTCTAGGCAGAGGGACAGCCCATGTGGAAACCCTGAAGCAGGAGCAACCTTGGCCCCAGACAAGAGTCCTGTGTGGCTGCAGCAGAGGGAACCAGGAAGAGGTCAGAACGGTCCTGGGGTAGCAGATCACACGGGGATGAGGTCGCCAACATTTCCCTCCCATACCTCAAAGGAATTTCAGAAACAACAATTTTCCTCAACTGTTTTAAGCAAATATGTAATTATTTATGTTATAAATTAATGTACTTTCAGGCTGGATGCAGTGGTTCACACCTGTAATCCCAGCACTTTGGGAGGCCCAGGTGGGTGGATCACAAGGTCAAGAGATCAAGACTATCCTGGCTAACATGGTGAAACCCTGTCTCTAGTGAAAATACAAAAAAGTAGCTGGGCATGGTAACATGCAACTGCAGTCCCAGCTACTCAGGAGGCTGAGGCAGGAGAATCGCTTGAACCTGGGAAGCAAAGGTTGCAGTGAGCCGGGATAGCACCACTGCATTCCAGCCTGGTGTTAAAGCGAGACTGTCTCAAAAAAGAAAAAAAAACTTAATGTATTTACAATGTAACATCTTACATATTTTGATTATAAGACAAGTAGTTCAGCTAAGCCTCAGGAAGTACAGGGTCACCCTCATCTAAAATGTGCAGGACTACAGAGGCATGCATTTGGGGGAGTTCAGAAAGTGGCACATATGAAGGGGAGATGCCTGTTAGGTGTCCCAGCAGAGAAGTGAGAGGACAACTGAACACAGGTTTCTAGACCTCAGGGCAGAAGTCTGCAGGGGACATGGAGACATGTAGGCAGGGTTCAAAGCTATGGGATAAGATGATAAAGAAGAGTCGTGTGTGTGGACCGAGATGAGAAGGGTTTTGAGATCTTAGCCTATGCAATATAGGAAAACTCAGTCTGTACCAAAAAATCAAAAAATTACTTGGGTGTGGTGGTATGCACCTAAAGTTCCAGCTACTTGGGAAGCTGAGGCAGGAGGACCTTCGGAGCCCAGGAGTTCAAGGCTGCAGGGAGCTATGATTGCATCACTGCACTCCAGTCTCGGTAACAGAGTGAGATCCTGTCTCAAAACAAAAACAAAAAAGACCTAAATCATGGGACACTCCCACATTCAGAGAAGACAGCTTCAGGAGACACCAGCAGAGGAAACTGGTAAGACAAAAACCTGAAACAAAGTAATTACAAAAAAACTAGCTGGGCATGGTGGCGCGTGCCTGTAATCTCAGCTACTCAGGAGGCTACTCAAAGTAATCCCTTGAGGCAGGAGAATTGCCTGAACCCAGGAGGCCGAGGTTGTGGTGAGTCGAGATTGCACCATTGCACTCCAGCCTGGGTAACAAGAGCGACACTCTGTCTCAAAA